TAAAGTTTATACAATGAAACACTTTCCTCGATTAATCTTTATCAAGAACTCTCAAGCCTAAACGTTTGAAAGACAGGGAAGTGAAATACGTGGAAACATTTGGAGCAATATAACCAATAGTGACCTAAAAAAAGTCGAAGTATAAGTCAGCTCATGGACCCTTAGTTTCTGAGTAATTACTTAATTATCAAATAGGAATGTTAGAAATGTTTCTTATAAATCATGTGAGGAGAAAAATCTATGTACTAATTCCTTCTTTCTATGACAGAAGAGTTCCTGTTTTGCATGTATGAGATTCTAATATAATGCCCTGTCATTAAACAAAACCAGTAGTATTGCATGCCTATAGTGTATCAATATACATGAACACAAATTCATACTTTCATTCTAAAAAACATTATTCATTCTTATAAAAATAGTTGAACTATATTGTTCACCGAAATTCTTTTTCAAGGAAACAACTGAAAGTTTCCTTAAATAAATGTTAAACAAATGGTTGATTTAAAAAATATGATTCTAACATGGATGTTCACCAAAATTTCATTCTTTGGTGACTGGATATTTCATGTAGGGTACTTTCTGGTATTATGCTAGTATAAAAATCGTTTTGGCAATAAAGGACCTGAAATGATCAGTGAAATGTTTCACAAACAAATCTCATTGTAAAATGCAAATTATTTACATACAATTCTATTTATACATGAAAACATTTATGTATGTTGTCAATTCTTATTTTATCTTACCAAATAAGGAAAACTTTAAAATTATTGAAGAATTCAAATAATTGGAATTGTAAGTGGGATCAATATTAAGAAAAGTGCTGTAAACTTTCCCAATTATGTATACAACTAGGAAACAGGAATGATGACCTCATTGTTTCTTTCTATTTTCTAAGATACTCTAAAATAAATGGGGAATGTATCCATGGGACACAGATGATGCCCCCCTTGCATATCATATAAAGTTATAAAGGGACATAACTGAAGAATGGTAAAAGTGACGCTACCCAAATTTGTACTTGATCTGAGTTTTGTGGTAATAAGTATTGTGTATAAGTTTCATAACATTTGGTTGAGGCAAACTTAAGTTAGAGAACGGAAACCAACTTTGGGACGTACAGACGGACAAGGGTAAAACTTAATGCCCCTTCCGCTACGGCTGGAGCATAAAAAAAAATTTCTCATCTTCCCATTTTGAAATTCTGTCATTTAGTTTGTTTTTGCTAACATAATTTAAAATTGCAACAATTTTTCAACCTTATTGAATGAGACAATTTTCCTTACATTAAAAAAACATTTACTTTTTATTATGATTTAGAAAATAGAAAATAGATGTTGTTGAAGTTTCCTTTTTTCAAAGTATAAAAGTTCTGTAATTTTGTTGTTGTTATGGTTCAATACTACCTATGCAGTTATTTCAAGGCGCAGGACATTTGCAATTTACTAATTGTATTAAGGACAATTGCACTCCAAATATGATGGACACACCTAGACTAAGTTAACTGAACATTTGCACTGGTGTTGTCAGTATGTTTTCGACTTATGAGTTTGAATGTTCCTTTGGTATCTTTCACCTCTCTTTTACCTGTAAAAGGTCACCTCTAACTTTCATGAGTTGTAATAATAAATTTGATTGAAATCAAATTTGTTGTTAGTTGCTTTACATTAACTCAGTAATGAAACATTAGACTTGCTTACATTTGTGTAGACCATTATTTGATGTTTAAACCAATGGCTGCTCAAGAACCTAGATGAACAAATTTGCATATTATCTGACAGAAAATAACATGAACATTTTCCTCAATTTCCTCTATAGAATGGCTTGAGCAACCATCTGACTGTAAATCTATATAAACCATATCAAATAATATACATTCATGAGCCTCAACCTAAGTTTAGAAATAAAAGAGAAAATTTGAAATAGATATTGAAATGTGGTTAGAATACATGTTAGGACAGATTACTTGAGCTTATATTTATTTACTCCATGGGCTACAGGTATAAAGCCAACTGTCATGTGTCCTTTATGTATTCAGAAGTTACGTTTAAATGTATATAAAGAAATAAATTTACTGTAGTGTGGATATTTACTGACTTTAGAGCACATAAGATCAGGTGTCCTGTAGAAAAAGCGCAAATGTATGTAGAAAAGGCACAATTTCTTGCAGAAAAAGCCCCAATGTCCTTTTTGATAAAGTGAAAATGTCATAAAAATCAAAGTGAAAATGCCCACTAAAAAATGTGCAAATATCCCATCAAAAAGCACAAGGGTCATGCACCAAATTTACCTTAACTATTGGTTAGTTGAAAAACAAGTAACTATCTAGAATTGAAAAACAAGTAACTATCTAGAATTGAAAAACAAGTAACTATCTAGAATTGAGATATTCCAATAAGGATAACAAATATTTTCATGATTATTCATATGTACAAAAATGATTTCTGATGATGATGACTGACAGATTTTTCTTACATATGCAACAATGAAAATCATTAAAATGTATGATATTGCTGTATTTTCCCCTTTTTATTTGCACTTTTAAACTACAAGTTCATACACATTAATTCAATAGCTTTTACAATTTAGCAATTAGTTTATGTCATAATAAAAGGTGAAAATCATATTGTTTTAAAAAACGTTCATTTTTACAGTTATACATGGTCTTTACTGTATTGACCTTGAAAAATTGAAGTATAAAGTTTAACCTTCAAACATTACATGTAGGTTACTTATTATATAATAAAATACTCCGCAGGGCGCAGCTTGATACGACCGCAGAGGTCGAACCCTGAACAGTTGGGGCAAGTATGGACACAACATTCAAGCTTGATACAGCTCTGAATTTGGATTGTGATTAAATATTTGACACAGCATAGGTTTCTGACACAGAATGAATGTGGTCTAAGAACTTAAAAATTTTAAATTGGACATTCACCTATTATGGTCCAATATCCAATATCCAAAATCTAAATACATGGTTAGATTCAGCATATCAAAGAACCCCAAGAATTCAATTTTTGATGAAATCAAACAAAGTTTAATTTTGGACCCCGATTTGGACCAACTTGAAAACTGGGCCAATAATCAAAAATCTAAATACATGTTTAGATTCAGCATATCAAAGAACCCTAAAAATTCAATTTTTGTTAAAATCAAACTAAGTTTAATTTTGGACCCTTTGGACCTTAATGTAGACCAATTTGAAAACGGAACCAAAAATTAAGAATCTAAATACACGGTTAGATTCGGCATATCAAAGAACCCCAATAATTCAATTTTTGATGAAATCAAACAAAGTTAAATTTTGGACCCTTTTGACCTCAATGTGGACAAAGTTGATAACGGGGCCAAAAAATCAAAAATCTAAATACATGGTTAGATTCAGCATATCAAAGAACCCCATATATTCAATTTTTGTTGAAATCAAACAAAGTTTAATTTTGGACCCCGATTTGGACCAACTTGAAAACTGGGCCCATAATCAAAAATCTAAATACATGTTTAGATTCAGCATATCAAAGAACCCTTAAAATTCAATTTTTGTTAAAATCAAACTAAGTTTAATTTTGGACCCTTTGGACCTTAATGTAGACCAATTTGAAAACGGAACCAAAAATTAAGAATCTAAATACACGGTTAGATTCAGCATATCAAAGAACCCCAATAATTCAATTTTTGATGAAATCAAACAAAGTTAAATTTTGGACCCTTTGGACCTTAATGTGGACCAATTTAAAAACGGGGCCCAAAATCCAAAAACTTAATACGCGGTTAGATTCAGCATATTAAAGAACCCCAAGAATTCAAGAATAAAACCCCATTGAAATTGATCAAGAAATAAGCAATTTATACGAAGTATCTTCTTTTGCACAATACTGTGCAATTGAATATTTCTTGCTATTGCGCAATGCTGTACAATTGACAATTTCTTGCTATTGCGCAATATTGTGCTATTGGATATTTCTTGCTATTGCGCAATACTGTGCAATTGAAGATTTCTTGCTATTGCGCAATACTGTGCAATTGAAGATTTCTTGCTATTGTGCAATACTGTGCAATTGAAAAATTTCTTGCTATTGCACAATACTTATTAGATAATAATTTACACATCCTGTTTGGTGTGTATCTCCTACCATATCATTATTATTTGCTTTTAAATATTAAACAGAAATAACCAACTTAAAATGGAAAATTTTAAAAGAAAAAAAAAAGGAAAAAAAGAAAAAAAAAAGAAAAAAAAAAAATCCCCCCCCAAATTTTTTGAACCCCCTTATGATTCATCACCCCCAAACTCAATCCCAGCCTTCCCTTTGTGGTATGGTACCTTGCAGTACAATTTCAGAGAGATCCATACACTTGAACACAAGTTATTGTCTGGAAACTAGAAAAATGCTTATTTTTGGCCCCTTTTTGGCCCCCAATTCCTAAACGTTTCGGGCAATTACCCCCAAACTCAATTCCAGCTTTCCCTTTGTGATATGGAACCTTGTAGTACAATTTCAGAAATATCCAAACACTTACACACAAGTTATTGTCATGAAACTAGAAAAATGCTTGTTTTTTGCCCCTTTTTTGGCCCCTAATTCCTAAAATTTTGAGGCAATTACCCCCAAAATTAATTACAGCCTTTCCTTTGTGATATGGAACCTTGTGGTACAATGTCAGAGAGATCCATACACTTACACACAAGTTATTGTCTGGAAGTTACAAAAATGCTTATTTTTGGCCCCTTTTTGGCCCCTAATTCCTTAACTGTTGGTACCATAACCCCCAAAATCAATCCCAACCTTCCTTTCGTGGTATTAAACCTTATGGTAAAATTTCATGGAGATCCATTCACTTAAACTAAAGTTAGAGTGCGAAAACCAATGCGTCTTCGGACGACGCCGGACGACGCCAGACGACGACGACGACGACGACGACGATGCCGGACGACGACGACGCCAACGTCATACCAATATACGACCAAAAAATTTTTAATTTTTGCGGTCGTATAAAAATCATGAAAAAACATGTCTTTATTAATAAAAAACAGAGTCCCGTCTCTTAACAGATCAGCTTGTCTGTGAGCTGCCTTTTTACAACACCAAATTCTCTCTTCTTCAGATGAACAAACAAATCTTATTAATTATAGATGAAATTGAATCTGAAAAGAAATAAAATATAAAATTTATAAAACTGTCTGAAATGAACAATGAAGATAATTTTACTATCTCCTCTGAACACAACAATGACGGATAATTTTTTTATTCTTTTTCAAGTTTCTTTGTTTGAAATGAGTTGGTCAACATGCTTTTTGTGGAGTTTTTGCATGATTAATCCTAATTAAGAATGTCTTGAGCGACAGTCTTTCACATCAATTTAAACTAATTGTACCCTATTCCATGAAGCAAGTTATGGAGAATTTTTCCTCAGATAATAATTTTCTAAACAAAGAAACTTTCCCACAGACGGGAAGTCCCCCCACAGTTTATTGATTCTAACCAATTAACTCCTCTCATCTCTATGATAATGTTAAATTTTAGTGACAAACTCCATGTCCTTTACTTTATTAAAATCGTCAAAATCTTGGGAAAAAAGATAATTTGCGAAAGAAATAAAATCCCCAGGGGAGAGCTAGGAGCTGAGACATAAAAATACAAATTTCCAACACCGTTGATTCAACAATGATCCCTTATAACCTATTACTCTCCATGCAACAAATCTGTGATCATTTATAACATTGTGCATGTCCTGTAAGACCAGACTTGACAAAAGATCTTGATAATATAATTATAGTAACAGGGTAATACTGCCATTAATTTAATTTCGTCCAGCGTAAACATAAAATACAACAAGAATGAACTAATGTGTATTAAAACCACGCCTCTAACATCTGGTCAACAAAAGAATTTTTTTTTTATTTTTTGGCATAAGATTGTATCTATATAAAATAACTAGCAATTTGTTGAACACCTCATGTATAACATTACACAGATAAAAATCATTGCTTGGCTGTTACCCATTGGGTAAGCTGATCTTATTTTATTATCAAAATGTGTTGCTTTCAATATTATGTGTTAAAATTACCAAATCAAGCAGCTTTTAAATGAATTATTTATAATGAAATTGCAATTATTATTCATTTTTAAAGAGGACAGGGTTGTCAGACTAAAATTATCTCAGCAAAATTTAATATAGATCTATATAACAAGATGTATAAAATGAAACCACACAATGTAAGAGTTTTTGTAAGTTTATTTCTTGCAGTTTTATAAGCAGAGATTGGCAGTTCCATTTAAAGGTCATTTATTACGTATTTGAATATCAATATTTCTCATACTACTTTTTAATGTACTGACATATTCTTTTTGTTATAATTTTTTTCCTTTTTTATATTTTTTCCAAATGTTGTTTTAAAATTTGAAAAGGTATATTTATAAATAAAGATTTTATCATCAAATTCAAAAATTGACAAATTAAAAAAAGTCACAGAAAGAGATGTGGTGTTAGGATGCACTTATGATGCAATAAAATCACAAATTTAATACTATATCTGAACCAGGTACCACATTGAAGAATCTTCAAATATTATTTTACTGTGTTTGAAATGTTTGGATATTAATTCATACTTTTAACTTCAATTTTCAATGAAACCTGATATCACAAGATTACACATTCATTGTAGTTGTATATCGTGAGTGCTATATGTCTCTGGTATTTTAAATCAAAGTACTGAAGTACTGAACATCGGATGACCACAAGTTCTTGAGGATGGTCAAAAGCACTTGTCTCAGAAAAAAAACAACATATCTCTTTACCTGAAACTGAGGTTAATGTACAGAGATATATTTTTTTCTGAGACAAGTTCGTGCGTAGATGATGAATAAATGACAGGAAATTCAACTTCACTGTAATAACGATTATATTGTAGTGATACAAATCAGTACACTGATTTGTTGTTATATATTATATTAAAATAACAGTTACATATATATATGATTTGCATCCATTTGTATATCATTCCATTCTACTAATCTAATAATAGTGCAATGCAAGTGCATGGTGGACACTTTTCTGTAAAAATTTGATTTTTCTAAGATTGGATACGAGTAGGCATTCATATTTTCCAGCAAAAACAATTACAGAGTTACCGGTCCTTGCCGGTATTGTCGCAAAACATTCTTTGAGATATCCTTCCGCATGCTTTAACACAATTTTTCGGTACGTGTTCATTGATATTATCAATGATTTTTTACTTATATATATATATATCTAACTACAAAACATTTTCATATTATTAATCTATATTGTAAACAAAAATATTTTTATCAGTATTCATTGAAGAGATGTATTTATATCAAACGATAAGGAATGTTATTTTGCACTCGTTTATGTGCGCATATTTATCATGTTTATAGATCGGTTACAAACCCAAAACTAATTTACATAATGGAAATCTAGGCGATAGCAATACATCAGAATGACCTCAAGGTCATCGCGATGTAAAAATATATATAACAAGTTAACTTAAGGGACTGTCATATTAAGAGGCTGTTTAATCATTCATTTTACTGGTAAATTTAATATAATACATAACAATATGATTCAGTAGGAACTTCAACTTAAGATTTCTAGTGTAAGTGGAGCCTTTGTTAAGTTACCGACTCTTTTTTTTATATTGAAAAGTCATTTTCAAATATTTAACTTATCTTTGCATATATGTGCTGTGAAATTTGATTAATAAGCCCTGTTGACACTATCAAAGATTTCCTTAACATCAAAAACTTGGAGAAAGTTTTTGAAGGAATTTGTCAGTGACAATGTTTGAAAACTTTAATAGTGTATAATGTCATCCTATTTTTCTTGAAACTTGGATGGATTTGATGGAAACTAGCCAATTAGAGTTGAATTTAGGAAAGATGCAATTTTGTTTTCAAAACAAAAGCACATATTAAAGGTGGGGAGATGAGATGAGCAGAATAAACATAATAACTTCCAGTAAAACTAAAAGAACATAGTTATGGAGAAATGGTGTGAAAGAGAATTGATTCAATTGTTTGAGTACAAAGAAGTATAAAACTCATCGGCCACAAACAAATCATGCACAATTTCTAATTTGCCTCCTCAAAAAAGGTTTTCCACAGAAAATATAGTGAAAGAGCAATGCAATTTTTTGTTTAAAGTTTTTTAAAACCCCTTTACTCTTGTAAACCTTGAAGTCCCAACTTTTCTTTGACCAATCACGGATCAAAAAACTTTGAAAGTGACAAGAGATTACTTTGACCAAGTTTTGACGGAAAACTTTGGTAGTGACAACAGTACAGATGACATCGGCCAAGTTTTCTTTGTACAAGTTTACAAATTTTAAAATCTGTGATCTGCTTTTCTAAACAACTTATTTGTAAATATAGCAGGTGATTATTAGTAAACATTTACAGGTAGTCAGAACATAAGTGACCTATGATCATTGTACAGAACAGAATTATATAAACAGGATAAATATTGACAGGTCCTAATGTAACTGAAAACTTTAAATATTTTTCAATTTCAAGATACTGTTACTTTTTAATAACTATAAAAATGATATTTTTTTTAATGTAAATCAAAAGCACACATAATTTCAAATTTTTTCTATATTTATGAATTCATTTTGATTATTTATATATTTTGTTAATTTTGCTATTTTTTCAATTTTAGATATCTCAACTACTTCACAAGGTTCAGTTATACACATCATTTCTTTTGATCTCTTAAATTTTCATAAAAGTCAGAATAAATCAAAAGAATATCATATTTTAATAAATAATAAGATTTGTCTTATTTACATTAAAATAACAAGGTATTTATTTATACAATTGTCAATTTGTTTGATTGAATTGTTGCTTTTAAATTACAGGCACGTGTTTTTTACAATAGACATCAACTGTAGTTAAACGATGTCAAAAATCATCATTTGATGGAAGAAAGAGTAATAATTCCTTAATCAGTAAATTCAACAGAAATGACTTTAAATCGTACAATAAGAAGAGGACTTAATTCTTTGTAGTGTACAACAATAGAACTTGACCATTTGTATCTAATTTATTCTTTTATAAAATCAACACTTTAAACCAATATTTATTCAGCGATCTTCCTATTCAAATAAACATGTTAGATTCTATTGTGGAGAAACATTAACTGATTTAAATAGTGGGTCTGTCATGTGACAGCAAGCATTAAATATTTTTATCTTTGCATGTTTCTATCTATTATTCTCAACAATTTTTTATCTGACAGATTTGTCCATCTGTCCATAAAACCTTTAAAAAAACTTTCATCTGTCCAACTGCACATGTCCACAAACAACCCTGGTTCCAGAAATCACTTACTTTCAATTTTTGTTTTTTTTTTGTTTTTTTTCTTGGTCTTAGATGTGATAGACATTTTGACATCAACTCATTTCCAAAGTCACAGGAGAAAACCAAAAGAAAAAGAATCATTATTGTTAATTTATTCATGTCTTCAAAATTATAGTTAAAAGTTATGTATTAAGCTCAGTTTATTCAAGAAACACTTGTTTTATCCCTTAAACTCTGTACCTGGGGATTTGATTAATTCATACTTTCAAATGTCTAGAGATATTAACAATGTTGTCATTGGCCTTTAGAAAAAGAGGAATATATCTGATCTAGTTACTACCAGATTTGCACAGTGTTTCTATAGAATCATATCTACTATTACTGCTTTCTACCCGATTCCTCAAAGTTTGGTTATTTTAAGCTGGTATTATAGAGTAAAGGACTTTTTCTGAAAATAGACATCTATAGGTCAACAGACCATATGCAAATTTATAAATCCCACAAGTCTGCACAATACTAAAACCAAATTCTAAATAAATGAAATAAATTTACAAGACCATCAAATGTCGAAAAAAATTCCTCAAAGTTATAAGATTTCCCTAGTCGAATATATATATATATTCACCTTAGTAATGCAGAAATAGCCAAATTTTAGGATTCTAACCTGTAACTTTAGTAAGCTTGAATGACATCATTCTAAATTTTGACACTGTATGGTCTTCTAGGATGATACAAGGAAATGCTGGATAAGGTTATGTATTATCTCATCTATTGATAATGAAACAGACTGATTCACCAAAACAAAGGTCATCAGTAACGAGCTGAG